GGAAAATAGTTTAGATGAACAATGATATACTTTAGAGGAAAAATACCACTTTAGATGAAAAAGATAATTTTTCACCTTAGATGAAAAATCTCATGTTTAGATGAAAATTGTTTAGACGAACTGGGCCCCCCCCCCCCCGATTTCTCAGTTTAATTCGTTCAATTGCGAGGGCACGGCGCCTGCAAGACTCGGGGTAGGCCACCAAGCAGTACACGCAAGCGCTGCAGACAAGAAATTGCCTACCTACTAGGCGCTATGACAGCATGCGGCTGAACTTGACGGTTCCGTAAACGGCGGTTGCAGGACGTACTTTTCTGGATGCCGAGTCCAACCATTATTTCATTGAGAAAGCGTACACTGGCTTTGAGAAATATTTTTCACTGCGCATAACGGACGAGAAACAGAAAATGAAAAGCGGCAAGGGAAAGGAGAATCCTCAGCCAACCGTGATGGATATGGCCTTGCGAAGCGCGCCATTTTGATAAATGAGTCCCTAACAACTCGGCCAGGCCGGTGCGTGTTTGACCGCTCGCCCCCCGCGCTACGCGCCGAGCGGCGCTCCCCCGCGGATGAGACTTTAAGCCCCCGGCGAGCATCATACCGTGTCATTCTTTCTTGTCTTCATCAGGATAATTTCTCATATTCGCTGCTAAATCCCCGCCCGCCATGGAAGCGGCATCAGCTGTGACAAGAAAATGGGACAGCGGCCGCCGCCGCTGCCGTGGAGAAGGGCGGCGAGATGGCGAGAAAAGCGAGGGTGGGGGGTGGGCGTTCGTCAAGTTGATTTTACGGGCGGGGCGTCGTCCGCTACGGAGGGGCGAATTTACAGGACGGGCACGAGTCGAGCCGTGCGGCGGGCAGGGTGGGGGTGAGCGGGGTGTGCAGAAAATACGGCCCGCGCCTGGCGGCGGTGTTCGAACCCCAACATACCACGCGATGCAAGGGGTGGGCGCGGATCGACGGGCGCCGGGCAAGTTCGCCTGGTCTGGGCACCGAAAAAAAAAAAAGAGAGAGAAAGAAAAGATTGTAAGGAAAAGAGGGAGAACAAGTAACTGCTCCCCGCGCAGATAAAGTAAAGTTCACTTTTAATCGTCATTCGGACGATTGTGGAACTTTTCCCTGAAAGGGCTGTAGGGCCCCCGCGGCAGAGCCCGCCCATCCATCCCCGCCGGAAGACAAACTGAAAATCAATAGAATGGCATTCGTCCCTGGCCGAGCCGGCCGGCAACCCAACCCGAATAAGCAGCACTGCAAGAACAAAGGTGTGACTCGACACCTTTCAAAGGTGTTTAAGGTTTAATATGGGCTTTCGCAAAGAGTGTCTGGCACCAACGACACCACGTCACTGAAGGAGTCCTGCTGCGCGCGTGTCCCTCAAGTCCCTGAGGCAGCCCTGACTGCGCGGGGGAAGGCCGCGAAGGGAGCGAAAAGAAGCATGTAAGGGGATGAAACAGCAAAGCGCGCGCGCGCGCACACACACGCACACACACACACACACACACACACACACACACACACACTGGCAGGAGGCCAGCGCAACGCGACGAGTCACGACCGTACCAGCCGTACAGTACGGGGTCGTTCGACCGGTCGGCTCGGCGCGCAGCGGAGCCAGCCGAGCCGCAGCCACTGGAGGTTCCCCTGGAGCCTCTCCAGCCGGGCCGGCGCCGCCGACGCCCTCGCCAGCGGCAGACGGCGCGGCGGCTGCGCCCCCTGCTAGCCCGCCCACAACAGGGGTATGAACAAGCTGGGCCCGCTCTTCCGCCAAACCAAGTTGCCAGCTCCGCTTCGCTCCACCGGCAACTCGGTTCGGCAGGGAGCGGGCCCAGCTTGGCCTGCCGGCGGCGTTTGGGACGGGCCTTCGGCCCGTCCCTTCTGAATTT